TGCGGTAGCCACTTCGTTCAGTTACGTATTGCTGTTGCTGTTTTATATAAATATTATATCATAATATTAACTATTACATGTATCGTACTGATTGGTGGACTCATTGTAATATAGTATTGACATATTCAATAAATTTTGAAATAACATAAAGTCTTACATAACTAATTATTTTCGCAAACAACAAGCCTTTGCTTAATCGAATTTTGACGAAATATTTATTTTTATTTGTGAAAATTATGTTCGGGTTCTCTGTAGCTAATATAAGTGTTATTATTGATAAATATTAATTTCAGCGTATTCATATCTGTTGGTGTAATCAAACTTGTTTTTGAATTTGGCGGTCGTATGCATTCGTCTATGTCATACGTTGTCGTCCTGCTGCTCCGCTGCAAAAACGTGAGCAGACTTTGTACCCCAGGACTCGACCATCATGGGGATCTAGCCGTAGCCGCCCGTCTTTATCGTTTTGTTGTTTTACTGTCATCGTTCCTGAGCCAGGCAAAACACAAGTGTCGCGTCTCCACGCCATCTTGGCTTCTTTCGGGTTAAAACCTCGTGTTTTTGTTTTAACAACGCGACCCGGTGCCGTCGCCGTTAACCGCCATTCGTTTGTTCCGCACCCGACCTCGCTGCTCACGAACTTGGCTCGCGTACGAGCGCTTACGTGTTCGAGTTCCGGCCGTCGTGCGACACCACGGCTGTGTTTGGTATTCGTCGCCGTCCGATTATGTGTGCGACCTAAAGTCAATGGTCACCCATAATATCATTTCGTTTGTTTGTTTTCGCCCGTCCACGTTCGACGACGAGGTGAATTACTCCCGCGGTCGCTTTCTGCCGTTGGTGTGTTTTGTTTGTACTTCGTCGTCACCAGTACGACATTCGCACTGCAATTTGCCTCACCGTCCACGTGCTTTTCCGTCCGTCCGCGCCCCTGTCGTACGAACGTGTCAACCACGACGTGTTATAGTGTTATCATTTGTACCGTTGTCACGCCGCAACAGTGCCGAACGTGGTTTGCCCGCGCCGACTTCCAGATATGTCGTTCCGACGCCTCCCGCGCCTTCATCGACCAATTCTCGCCGTTTTCGACGGAAGTGCCATTGTCGCACACTTCACCGACGCGACCAACATTACATCATCGTCATTTGGGACAGCGCAACTCATCACTGCTTATCATCTACCATCAAACCAGCCCGGTTACCAGGTCGTACACACGCTCACTATTTGTTTATTATTTTTTATCGTCATAGTTATTCGACGTGTTTCGTCGTATCAATTATACTCGACCGATTTATTAATTATTATTCGTTGCCGTCTTCGACGTGCGTTTTGTATTATTATATTGTTTCGCCGACCGGCTTGTGGTCGCGTATTATTCTTATTACTAACATTAGCACGTAAGAATTCTCGACTGCAGAATATTATAATAAATTATCATATTTGTCTATTGTAAACGATTGGTTTAATTGTATTGTATTTTTGGGTACCTCGCATCATCATTAGTTTAGTATTATTTATCTATCAGCTCCTATTTCATATGTTTTTAAATACAGTCCACTCTCCACCTCCCACAGGGCTCTCGATCTACAACGTAATTATAATCACACGTTTTCACCGGCTTCTTGTGCAGCCCTACCGCACATTGTTTGGTCCGTCGGGCCGGATCTTATTTTGTGTGATTTTAGTCGATGCAATTTTATTAAATTAAATTGTTATACATTTGTTTCGTATTTTTGTCGTCATGCCACCAAAAAGGGAAGATGATCCGAAAACCGTTTTGACACGAGCGCGCGCTAAACGTGATATTGTTTTAAAGTCAATCAAACGTATGCACGTTACAGCATTAGAGGCACGTTCTGATATCGGTAAGGTTCCTGCACTTATTTCCCACGCCGATGATCTAAATAATCTCGTCGAACAATTCCAACACCATCAAAATGTTATTATCGACGCCTTGCTTGATTTGAACCGGTTTGCCGAATTTGAACAGGATGACGATCCGTTGTTTACGTCCATGGATTCCATGCGTCTAGAAATCAAAACAATACTCGCGAGTGTCGTTTCCACGAGTGCGTCCGAAATTAAATCGTCGTCATCGTCGTCGATCGCGTCCGCGCCACAACAATTCGTTCCGTTACCGAAGATTCAGCTGCCCAGCTTCAACGGTAGTTTATTAGAGTGGCGATCGTTCCGCGATATTTACGTATCTCTCGTACACGATAACACCGGCATTGGTGATGCCGAACGTTTTCATTATCTACTGTCGTGTTTATCGGATGACGCTCTCGCCGTTGTCAAAGCAATACCGCTGTCCGCGAACAACTACGCCCTCGCTTGGGAAGCACTGTCCGTTCGGTTCGACAATAAACGCCTGTTAGCGTCGGCACATTTAGACAAGTTATTCGCATTTAAACCTATTACACATCAATCGCTACCAGCTTTGACATCATTTATCAACACATTCAAAGAAAATGTAGCTATAATTAAAGCGCTCGGTGTTAACGACCTTTCAAGTTTTTTATTATTCCACATGGGTTCTCGAGTTCTCGATCCGACCACGATTCAATTGTTCGAATCCAATGCGTCGAATTCTACAATTCCGACATTCGACGAGTTATTAAATTTTGTACAACAACGGTGCAGAATATTAGAGAACGTAAAAAATTCTACTAAACAAGATATTACCTTTAAACCGCATGACAAGTCTAAGGCGCAGTCTCACAAAACGTTTGTTCCCAAAAAATCCGTTTTTGCCGCTACTACGTCTACATCGACCAAGTCGAAATCGAGAGGTTGCCTGTCATGTGATAAGACTGACCACAATATCTATCAATGTCCGAAGTTCAACGAAATGTCCGTTGACAAACGCCGAAATGTTGTATTGTCGCGCAAATTGTGTTTCGCGTGCATGAGTCCGTCGCACATGCTTGACACCTGCTCGTCCAAAGGAGGGTGCCGCTCATGCAGTAGTAAACGTCATCACACCTTATTACATCGTGAACAAAATCGAACGTCAACTACAGACAATACGACTCCGAACACTACCTCGATATCGCAACCAACCACGTCGAGTGGGGGTTCTAGTTCACTTGTCGGTGCAGCCTGCACCAATTCTACCGTCGTACTTGGTACGGCGATTGTCCATATTATAGACGCTTGGAAACGAGTACAGTGCGTACGGGTGCTGCTCGATAGTGGCTCGCAGATTTCGGCCGTGACTAGTGATTGTGCCGCGCGGCTTGGATTTTCGAAACGTCGTTATAAGTCTGATATCGTTGGTCTCGCGCAAAATCCTGTATCCCACGTGCAAGGTGTAACTAGCTGTCAATTTTCGTCACGTTTTAAATCGGACTATTTATTCCCGTCCGTTGAATTAGTTATTTTAAAACAAATTACCGCTGCCATGCCGTCCACGCGGTTGCCGACAGCCGTGCGTCAACAGTACCAACACCTCCGTCTCGCGGACGACAATTTCGACATTCCGTCGCGCATCGACGTTTTACTCGGCGCAGACATTTTACCTAGTCTTATTCGCCCACACGCGGGTGTGGAGCAGCATCCGGGTTTACCATCGGCCCTTGACACTCAACTTGGCTGGATAATTTTCGGCTCATTCTCCACTCCGAGCAAGTCACCCCCAGTCACGCTGACCACCGCCATCGCTCCGCCTTCAATCGGAGATTTGTTACAAAAGTTTTGGTTGGTCGAAGAACCCGCCGCACCTACGTCGCCCACCACGGAAGATCAATGGTGTGAAGAGTATTTTACAAAATCTACCTCGCGTGATTCAACCGGTCGATTTTGTGTCGCCCTGCCATTTCGACATCTATTTACCAGCCCAATTCAAGATCAAGATACACCGCGTCACGGTCTCGGAGACTCACGCTCTATAGCGTTGAAACGATTTTACAATCTAGAACGACGGCTGGCTAAGGACTCCGCGTTGTACGCGGCTTACCGAAAGTTCATGTCCACATATCGAACCCTAGGCCACATGGTGCCGGCTCCAGAGCCTGGAAAATATTTTATTCCGCATCACGCTGTGCTCAAGGCCGACGGTGATGTATCCAAAATACGCGTCGTGTTCGACGCTTCGTCTGCTTCGTCGTCCGGTCGATCCTTGAACGATATATTGTGCACCGGACCGAAATTACAAGTCGATCTACGCGACATCCTACTTCGTTGCCGCATGCACAGGTACATTTTGTCCGCCGACATCGTCAAAATGTATCGACAAATTTTAATTCGTCCAGAGGACCGGACATACCAACATATCTTTTGGCGTGATTCACCTAGCGACGAACTCGTTGAATTTCAACTATGCACCGTCACATACGGCCTCAACTGCGCGCCGTATCTAGCCATACGCTGTTTACACGAGCTCGACAGCCAGGATGGTCATCGTTTTCCGCTGGCAAAAGACGTCCTCACTCGAGCCGCCTACGTCGACGACATCGTTATTGGCGCCGACACAGAAGAATTACTATTACGTCGGAAGAAGGACATCATCGGGTTATTGCAGAGCGGCGCTTGTGCACTGAGCAAGTGGACCAGCAACAGTACCGCCGTCCTTAAGTCTGTTGCCCCCGAAGACCGAGTGCAATCCATGTCATTTGATCCGCGTGATGAACATTCCGTTAAAGTGCTCGGCCTGCACTGGGACACAATTACCGACTGCTTCGCTTATCATACCAGCCTTCAACAAACCTCATCCACGAAACGTCAGGTGTTATCCATCATCGCGCGTTTGTTCGATCCCATCGGCGCCTTGGGCCCGATGTTGTTGTGGGCAAAGTGCTTCATGCAATCATTATGGTGCAATAAACTCGAATGGGACGATGTGATGCCTGATGAGCTACAATCTTTGTGGCAGCAGTTTTGCATGGAGTTGCCGCTCCTGTTCGATTTCAGTCTGCCGCGTCACATCGACGTCACTTGTTATCATGACATTCAGCTGGTAGGCTTTGCAGACGCTTCAATGAAGGGATACGCGGCTACCATTTATCTCCGTTCTGTCAACGCGCCCGACGACATAGCCGTTAAGTTCGTCACTTGTAAGACCAAGGTGGCCCCGTTGAAAGGCTCCACCGCTAACGAGCAACTGTCTATACCCCGTCTGGAGTTGTGCGGGGCCCTATTATTGGCTCGGACGCTCAACCACGTTCACTCCGTGTTGTCATGCGAAGTGCCGATATCCCGTCTGCGAGCATGGTCAGATTCGTCGGTCGTTTTGTCCTGGTTGACATCGGATCAAAAACAATTCAAAATTTTTGTTACCAACCGGGTAGCCCAAATACGTCAGTTATTACCGGACTGCACGTGGAACTACGTATCAACTAACGATAACCCCGCAGATCCAGCGTCCCGCGGATTGTTGCCAAAAGCCATGTTGTCATCATCCATTTACTGGAACGGTCCTGAGTTTTTACGGCTTCCTGAAGACCAGTGGCCCCAATCCAAATTTATCCCGCTTGCCCCAGAACAGTTGCCAGAGATCCGGCCGAATGTCACCATGACGTTGGCCGTCAATGTTTATCCGTCATCGCTAGAATTTATTGATCGATTTTCGTCGCTCGCCAGAATGCTGCGCGTATTGTCCTACATATCGCGCTACTTGTGTCATCGTCTTCGTCGACAACCTGTTCGCGTCGGTCCAATCACGTTCGCCGAACGGGAAAATGCATTATCCATCGCCGTGCAACGCACACAACAACATTATTTTGCCGACTTACTAAAGATGTTGAAAATCAAATCTGTGATTTCGCCGCCTTCCCTGGCGCAGTTGGCACCCTATGTAGACGAAAAGGGTATCATACGGGTTGGAGGCCGCCTGCGCTTCTCCGATATTAGTCATGACGCAAAGCATCCGATATTGTTGCCGCGGTCTTCGCATCTCACTGAGTTAATCATCCGTCACTATCATTTGTCATTTCTACACGGCGGACCAAAATTAGTAATGTCGATGCTAAGCCAAAAATTTTGGATTTTGTCGGGTCGCGCTGCGATTCGACGTGTCATTTTTTCATGCGTGCCGTGTACACGTCACAAAGCCGCCCGGCCGCAGCCGATGATGGCTGATCTACCGTCCTTCCGGGTCCAGTCTCATCGACCGTTTTCACACGTTGGAATGGATTACGGAGGGCCATTCCTCGTAAAGGAACATCGTCGTCGAAATGCGCAATCGGTCAAAATTTATCTCGCGCTATTCATTTGTATGTCCGTCAAGGCAGTGCACCTTGAAATCGTGTCGGACCTCAGCACAGACGCCTTCCTCGCGGCCCTGGACCGTTTCGTCGCCCGCCGTGGCATTCCATCCAATATTTATTCGGACTGTGGTACGAACTACGTCGGCGCCGCGCGCCAGCTGAAAGCGTTATTCCGCGATACCAAGGTTCAAGACCAACTATCGTCGCACTTGACTTGTACGTGGCACTTCAATCCGCCTGCCGCGCCACATTTTGGCGGTCTCTGGGAAGCGGGTATCAAAAGTGTGAAATTTCACTTGAAACGAGTGATTGGCACTCAGATACTCACCTATGAAGAGTTCGAGACATTGTGTGTCCGAGTCGAAGGAATTCTAAATTCGCGTCCACTCACTCCAGCTTCGATGGACCCACACGACTGCACAGCTTTGACACCTGGACATTTTCTCATCGGACAGCCACTCTTAGCGGTACCGGAAGAGAACATCACCGAGGCTCCTATGAATCGACTCACACGTTGGCAGCTCCTTCGACAAATGCATCAGTCATTCTGGAAACGTTGGTCCCAGGAATACCTGCATACGCTGCAAGGTCGTCGGAAATGGACCTCTACTCAGGACAATCTAAAAGTAGACGATCTAGTCATTGTTGAGGCGCCAAATCAACCTCCTTCCGTATGGCGCATGGGGCGCATCACGGCGGTCCATCCGGGTCCTGACGGTACGGTCCGTGTAGTTACGATCATCACCCAAGATGGGGAGATGAAGAGACCAGTGGTAAAATTGGTTAAACTGCCAACCGATAAATAGATTTCCTCGACATCCACTCGTACATCCTCCATCCTTCCTTTGTATAATTTTATTTTGTATAATTTTTTTTTTGTGTAATTTTGTGTATATTTGTATTGTTTATTTATTTTTTTTTTTTCTTTTCGCAACTTTGTAATGTGTACGATCTGAACTTCAATATTCAACTCTGATGATTTTATTTTTTTTGAAAGACCCTGGATCTTTCAACCCGGGGAGGAAATGTTGGGTATACAATCCAAACTGTTTTTTGAATTTGGCGGTCGTATGCGACTTCGTCTATGTCGCTACGTTGTCGTCCTGCTGCTCCGCTGCAAAAACTGTGTGAGCGAACTTTGTACCCCCGGGGAGGGGACTCGACCATCGCGGTCTAGCCGTAGCCGCCCGTCGCTATCGTTTTTTGTTGTTTTGTTTTGTCATCGTTCCTGAGCCGTTTAAGACACAAGTGTCGCGTCTCCGCCATCTTGGCTTCTTTCGGGTTAAAACCTCGTGTTTGTTTTTTTTGTTTTAACCAACGCGACCCGGTGCGCCGTCGCCGTTAATACCGCCATTCGTTTTGTTCCGTGCACCCGAGCCTCGCTGCTCACGAACTTGTCGCGTACGAGCGCTTACGTGTTCCGAGTTCCGGCCGTCCGTGCCGACACCACGACTTATTGTTTTTTTGGTATTCGTCGCCCGTCCGATTACTCGCTGTGCGACCTAAAGTCGTGGTCACCCATAATATATTTCGTTTGTTTGTTTTTCGCCCGTCCGTTCGACGACGAGTGAACCCGCCTCGCGGTCGCTGCCGTTTAATTGTGTTTTGTTTTGTACTTCGTCGTCACCAGTACGACATTCGCACTGCGAAATTTGCCTCACGCGTCCACGTGCTTTTCCGTCCGTCCGCCCTACATCGTACGAACGTGTCAGCCACGACGTGTTATAGTGTTGTCATTTTGTACCGCGTTGTCACGCCGCAACAACGGGTGCCGAACGTGGTTTTGCCCGCGCCGGCCTATTTGAATATTCGTTCCGACGCCTCCGCGCCTTCGTCGACCAATTCGCCGTTTTCGACGGAAGTGCCATTGTCGCACACTTCACCGACGCGACCAACATTATCATCGTCATTTTGGGACAACAACTCCATCACTGCCTTATCATCTACCATCAAACCAGCCCGGTTACCAGGTCGTACACACGCTCACTATTTGTTTATTATTTTTTATCGTCATAGTTATTCGACGTGTTTCGTCGTATCAATTATACTCGACCGATTTATTAATTATTATTCGTTGCCGTCTTCGACGTGCGTTTTGTATTATTATATTGTTTCGCCGACCGGCTTGTGGTCGCGTATTATTCTTATTACTAACATTAGCACGTAAGAATTCTCGACTGCAGAATATTATAATAAATTATCATATTTGTCTATTGTAAACGATTGGTTTAATTGTATTGTATTTTTGGGTACCTCGCATCATCATTAGTTTAGTATTATTTATCTATCAGCTCCTATTTCATATGTTTTTAAATACAGTCCACTCTCCACCTCCCACAGGGCTCTCGATCTACAACGTAATTATAATCACACGTTTTCACCGGCTTCTTGTGCAGCCCTACCGCACATTGTTTGGTCCGTCGGGCCGGATCTTATTTTGTGTGATTTTAGTCGATGCAATTTTATTAAATTAAATTGTTATACATTTGTTTCGTATTT